AATTACCCAGGCTGGGAATGTCCCAGGCTCCTGGTGATGACCCCAGGCAGGGAATGCCCCAGGCTGGGAATGTCCCAGGCTGGGAATGAAGTGAAATTGGGGATGCCCCAGGCTGGGAATATCCCAGGCTCCCAGTGCTGACCCCAAGCTGGGAACGCCCCAGGCTGGGAATGAAGCTGGAAATGCCCCAGGCTGGGAATGCCCCAGGCTGGGAATGCCCCACGCTGGGAATGCCCCAGGCTCCCAGTGCTGACCCCAAGCTGGGAACGCCCCAGGCTGGGAATGACCCCAGCTCCCAGTGATGACCCCAGGCTGGGAATTCCCCAGGCTGGGAATGGAGTGAAGCTGGGAATGCCCCAGGCTCCCAGTGCTGACCCAAGCTGGGAATGCCCCAGGCTGGGAATGCCCCAGGCTGGGAATGCCCCAAGCTGGGAATGCCCTGCGCTGGGAATGCCCCAGGCTGGGAATGCCCCAGGCTCCCAGTGCTGACCCAAGCTGGGAATGCCCCAAGCTGGGAATGCCCCCCTGGCTGCCCCGGCCGTACCGTCGGTGCGCAGCACCAGGGGCGTGGGGGAGCCCAGCGTGGGGCTGCTGCTGGCCCTGCTGGTCACCACGCAGGTGTAGTTGCCCACGTCCGAGGGCTCCACCTTGGCGATGTACAGGTGCCCCGTCTCCTGCGACACGAAGCGCCGGCTGTCCTCCTGCACGAACGACGGGTACTCGTTGAAGATCCAGGCAAAGGACACGTCTGGGAGGGGAAAAACACACAGGCAAAGGTGTTTGATAGGGTTTTCCTCACCTTTTTTACCTTCAAAAACCGATTTATTGCTGTATTTGACAGCATTGCGTTATTTACAGTACTTTGCTGTGCAACAAACAGAGAAAAATACATTTAAAAATTAGCGAACTCCCCCCCCCCATTTTTTCTTCACTGAAAGAAAAAAAAGGCAAAAGAAATCCAGAATATTAGCAGGTTTGTTTAAATCTCCTTATTTTCTCTCTTTTTTTTAATTTTTTTTTTTTTTGGATTTAATATGCACAGAAATAGGAGCAGACAGCAAAAAAAACGAGAGCAAACTTTGCTAAAATGGAAATATTACTCATTCAGTAGCTACTTAACTCCTTAGCCAGATGATTAGCAGGTAGAAACAGGACAGTAGTATCCATGTGATATGAATGTCAGAAGAAGCCTAAATTCCCAGTAGGGCTCATCACACAGCAAAACTTATTTTTTTCATTAAAAAATCTGTAAAAACTCCATTAAGAACACTTCTGTGTGATGTGGTGAAGAAGTCCTTGCTACCATTCGTTCTGATTATTTGAAAGGAAAAAAAAAACAAACCCACACCTCAAAAGAGAAACTAAGAGATTTGGTAAAAAAAATAAAAAATTGTTTTGTTTCCTCAGCATCACTCTGGGCCTTGTGTGGCCAATTTTAATTGGCAAAAGCCCCTTCCTGTGCGAGGCCACGTGTTTGTCTCATTCATTTCCTACAGGATCAAAGGTAAATAAATTTTTAATGGTGTTCTAGGCAAGGAATAATTTTTTTCACCCACGTGGCACTTATACAAAGATTACAGCTTCTGGAAGTGCTAATTAGCAGTGATTACAGCCTGACTGACCTCGCTGGTGCTGCAGTGTCTGCAGCACTGGCACTACCCCACGGAATGGAGATCAGCCCTTGCTGCACAGCTTTAATTTGAGGGTGCACAAATTTGGG